ATTTGACCCCTTTCGGGGTACCAGACAAGAGAACCATAATTTTTGACAACCTACCATACAGGATTAGGCAAAAATGCGCTACATCGCAGGCTTCTAATACATGGCTCTGGGCTGCGAACTTGGCCCATGATGTGTCTTCTTCCTCCTAGAGGAGCTATAGTCTTAGCCCTTAAGGGGATTACATATGGGGCGTATTAAGGGGGATACTAGGTTTAGACTATAGCTCAGATGATTTGTAAGTTGAGGTCCCCCTGAAAGCTGCTGGCAAAAGGGCAAAGCCTTCACCCTAACCACTACTCCTACACATCTGCGCCACGGGACCAACATCACACAGGAAGCCCTGTAGTCTTGGAGTTGTTTAACCTCATGTTGCTCCTCAAGTGGATAGAAGATGGGACTTGAGACCAGCCTCGCATATCCAGTAATTATATACCTGGTCTTCTACTATCTACAGGAAGTATAAAAGAGATGTTTAGCTTACTTAAGGGATGACGGCTCCAGACGTTGAATCAAACACCTAAACCCATTGAGGGATTTGATGACGGCCTCAGCTCTTAGAGAATTCCAAAATTACGGCCAAGGCGCTGCAGCAACTCGCCGCATAGTTTCCCAGGACCCGGCGCGAATAAAACTTCTAAAAGCTAAGAATGCTGCTAGCAGGAAGTGGACGGCGGGATTTGCAAACAATCAGATGCCCCTGCTTGGGAATCCTGATAACAGGGATTACGTATATTGGGGTGTAAACTGGGCTCCCTGTTTGTGCAAATGCTCATGTTGGGGTTTGGGGTGGAAGGCCAGGCCATGTGTCTGTGGCATGCCGCAATGCCCTCTGCAACACGGTATGCATGGCATCTTACTAGGTACTGTTTCCTGAGGAACCTAGGTCCTAAGTACCTAAGCAAGGGATACTGACCCAAACCATATTCCTGATACCCACTACAGAAACCTTACTTTGCACCGTACAGATACTTAGGATCCTTTGGGGTTGCAGGGTAAGGGATCACGCAAAGAGGTTGGCGTTGCTTCTTGCTCTTGCGTCAGCGGGCAAACAACTGATACGCGCCTTAGCTCTAGACCCTAAGCCAGAAACGGTGGCAACAATGCGCATAACTCATAATTAGGAAGCCCTGAAAATTAGTTATCCTAATTGCAAGGTACAAGATTCCCTGCAGAAGCAAAGGATTCGTGCCTTGAGGTTGGCGGCTTCGAGTGCTTTCCGCTTACGTCTGAGTGCCTGACTTTGTCATCCTCCTTCTCTAGGTAAACTATCTTACGATTTTGACCCGATAATTACTGGTGCCCCTGCCCAAAAAGTAAAGGCCGCGTAATTGTTGTATCCCTACCTTTCCTGACACTTTCTGGCTGCGGGTTTGCGATTAATGGATACAGCAGCGGTACCTTTGGTTAGGTAGGAGTGAAAGAATGGATTCTTATAGTATTCCCTATATAACCCATTATAGTAGTTTCCATGTTTGTTTCCATTCCTTCATTTCCAGCTAACCAAAGGTGAGTAGTAGCAGCAGCAGGATGAGGAATGATAGTAGCAGAAAGAGTAGCAGCGGGGAGAGAATGACAAGTAACCATCGTGGCGCACAACAACGACGATTACTACTGTTTGCTTCTGCCTCCGCTCACTGCTACCGTGATTCCTACTTCGCTGAACAAACGTTGCAAGATTCGAACTTGAAACCCTAAAGGATGCCCTAACCCTAATGCCTGAGGGGAAGAGATCCTAGTCAGAAACATAAGTTCCCATACTTGCAAGAGATATAGTCATCCCAAAGCCGCTGAAGGCTGCATAGCTCATCCCTAAGCCCACACTCTAAACAATAAAACCCCCAACCCTAAGATCCTAAACCCTGAACCCTTGAAACCCTAAACCCCACACCCCTAAACCCTAAACCACAACACCTAAGCCCTTAAAACTGACACCCTAAATCCCTAAACCCCGAAATTTTCAGAACTCCAGCCCCAAAGCCTAAGCCGAGCTTTCTGGTAGCATTTTCGAGATGTCGCAATGTCCGACCAGATTTGCTGGTAGCCATCAGCAGAACCTCATGTAGGGTTTGTGGGGTCTTTTTTGCTTAGGTTTCAGGTTTTAAGGGTTTAGGG